CTCATTCCTGCCTTACCAAAGGGCAATTTTCACTGTTTTTCTGCAGTATTTTGGGCTGATCATATTAGTTGAGCAGAAGCCTTAAATGGAAATTTGAGCATATCCTTTGCTAACTCCTACTCATCTTTCTGATTTCCACACCTTTTCCACAGAGCTTCCTCTCACCTGAACTCCCCACCCAGCTGGCTGGCCATCCACTCGCCCTGGGCTATATCTAGTTTGGGTTGTTGGAAACTGTAATCTCACTGGTTCAGACCTCACTGGGTATCTATATATATATAAAAGGCTAATATGCAAAGTGTCCCCTCGGGAGTTTGACCAGGAGACCGGGAGGAGTATCGCTCGCTATGATGTGTGCTGACCACCAGGGGGTGGCACGGAACAAAGGAAGGCCCTGGCCGGCAGCCGGAAGGCCCTGATCAGCCCTGATCACTGGCCAGGCCTACGGACCCTTCCCGTGCACTAATTTCATGTACGAGGCCTCTAGTAAAGCATAAACAAAGATGCCAATCTGTGCTTATTCTTCAATGAGGACTTGCTTTCCTAGCATATTTCCCCCAGGTTATACCAGATGTAGCCAATTTCTATCACAAACAGGATTCTCACCTTCAGAATGATCAAGTTACCCAGCAAAGCCTTCTCTTGCTTCTTCCACTGTTGAAAGCAATCCAGCTGTCTCTACGGACAAAAATGAAAACAAACATAAAAATAAACCACCCTTACACTGCAAAGAGTGGAGAAAATTGGCCATATTAAAACTTTCCAACAGATGGTGAGCCAATTTATATTTTTATTTTGACATTTACTTGCCCAGTAGGAGTACAATTGAGCCATATTTTTAAGCTCATTGAAAGCGGCCTTTATCTGAAAATGTTGTACACATATGTATAGATAATGCTCTCCACCAATCCACACGGCTTAATGACACAAGAATGCTAGTTCTCCCTCCCCTAACCAAGAGCCACTCAGGGTAGGAATCTTCTCCCTGAAAACTTTGGCCTCCTGCTGTCCCCCCTTCCTCCCATCATGCCCCACTCGGGGCCATTTTCCACAGAGCTGGCAAAGGGATCTTCCTTTAATCTAAATTTGACTATCCAGCTCCATGCTTAAAATAAACCTTTCAATCACTCCAAATAGCCCCCAGAATTAAGTTAAAACTCTAGTATTAGCCCTGAAAGGTGTGGCTCGGTTGGGCATCCTCTTGTGCACCAAAAGGTCACAGGTTCAATTCTGGACAAGGGACATGTCCAGGTTTCCAGCTCCATCCCCAGCAGGGGGTGTGCAGGAGGCAGCTGATCCATGTATCTCTCTCACATCAAGATGTTTCTTTCCCTCTCCCTTCCACTCTCTAAAATAAATTTTTTAAAAAAAAAATTTTAAGTGTCAGTATATTGGAATCATCTAGGGCAAGGGTCCTCAAACTACGGCCCGCTGGCCACATGCAAATACAAATATTGTATTTGTTCCCGTTTTGTTTTTTTACTTCAAAATAAGATATGTGCAGTATGCATAGGAATTTGTTCATAGTTTTTTTAAAACTATAGTCTGGCCCTCCAACGGTCTGAGGGACAGTGAACTGGCCCCCCGTTTAAAAAGTTTGAGGACCCCTGATCTAGGGAATTAGGAAAAAAGTACTGATGGCTGGGCATACCCCCAGAGATCCTTACTTAATTGGCATTGGGTATAGGGATTTGTAGAAGCTACTAGGTGATTCTATTTAAAACAAACAAAATTCTAGTATTAGCACGCTACCAAAACTGTGCTTGATTTGACCTGCTCACTCCTCCCTGCCTCAGTCCTGGTCTCTCCTCCCCTGCACACTCTGCAATTGAGTCATTCTAAGCCATGTGTCATCCCAAAACGTGCCTCTCCCACTCCCACTGCCAGGTGTTTTTACTCACGCCCACTCAGCCTGGAAAACCCCACCGTCCCTTCTTCACCTCCCTCATGCCTCCCTTTTCATCTTGACTCGGTTTAGGTGCAATCCAGTTACGCTATTTTATCACACTAAAATATGGCCAATGACAACTCTGCCTGAAACATTGAGAATGCTGTGGCTTCACTGCTTATTCTCATGCTTGCCCATGATTTTCAGGCTTACTGAAGATATTCCATCTCACACATTTTCTCATGTTGTTCAATAAAAGCACATATTAAAATTCTGCTACAACACAACCTTCCAAAAAGACAACTAAAAAAGAGACATTTTGCCTCGATTGCTGAAAGCAACCCAACCACGAGTGAATGATTCTTTTCCACATATGATGGAATTTTCCATTAATGTGTCTTACTGATTCTGGCCATATCCACGTGTGCTCTGGTCATGCCCTGTCACACACACTCCACCCCTGAAATAGCAATCCCCTAACCTTGATGTGCTCTGTTTCCATTTTTTTACTCCCTGAGTGAGTAAATGATAACATCTGAGCTGCTTGTCACACAACACAGAATTATAATCTCAGTTTTAAAGGAGGAGGTAAGGGTGGCAGAGGATATGCAGCTATTGTGGAATTCACCTGAGATTTCATAGTGTTTGCAGAACAGACAAAAATAAAAGTCCTAACTTTGGATCCTATTTTCCATTCAGAGGTCCTCCCAGTGTGGGAAATAAGAGAGTTCATCTTTTTTCTGGAAGCTGATAGCCTTGAAGAAGGATGAGTTCCACAGCAGCGGGCCCCCAGCTGGGATGGCCAGCAGCTCTTCCAAGTTCCGTCTGGAGTTAACGGGAACTTTGCTTCCGTTATACTTGCAATGGGACATCTTGGGGTTCATTTCGCCTTTCTACTTCCTCCTCTAGTGGAGTGTCACTTGCCTGGGATAGCTTTTAAGTGATTTACTTTATGGATGTTTTCTGTAGAGCACTGTGTCTTTCCTTTGAGATCTGAATTTAATTTTAGTAACTGGATCCAATTTGATGTTACTTTTAAATGAGAACTCTCGTCATCATATCAGCCATCACTTTGTCTTTCCATATTAGTGCACCTATTATTCATCGCACCAGTCTATTGACCTCATTGTTAACTGCTATCCATTTTTTGTCTTTTTACTGTCAAATAGAATTAACTCTTTCTCATAGCTTTCTTAATCCAGGAAATTTTTATACTCATTTACCCAGTATTGAATGACTTGTAAATCTAATCATTTTACATGAAGTTTAGAAAACTTGGGCAAAACCAAATTAAATGTCTTACTGTTTTTTATTTCTTCAGTGTCCTGGAACACAATGGCCCTGCATGGTTGATATAATTAATTTGACAATTAACTTAGGCATAGACCGCTGGGAGCTGGGTTACTCTCAGCACGTTACATAACCAGTGTGAGCTTCAGTGTCTTTCTTTGTCAAATGTAGTCCTTGGGAGCAGGAAATGAGGTGATACCCGACGTAGCACCATATTAATCTTCTCCAGTCCTCCTTCCCTTGCTTTTTCAATGAGTATTTCAGGTAGAGTTCATGAAACCCAGATGATAATGCCACAGACACAATCCTTAGTCCCCTATTTCTCAAAGAAAAAAAAATAGAATAGAAATTAACTAGAATCAAGTGATGAACCCTCATGGTTTAAAAAATAATATGTGCATATATGAATCCTGTACATGTGTTAATATGTACATGTGAGGCTTCGTGTGACCCAGGCATGACGCTGGTTTCATAGAAGATGACAGGGCAACTGTTAATCTGGAATTGCTCCACATTCCTCACTATTGATTACCAAATTTGGAATTGTATGGAGTTCTAACCATAATCACAAGAAACTCAAATACAGGAAGGTGCACTTTCCTTGATGGTCTGTAATTTAGTTCCACTGACAGCAGATTAGTCATGAAACCCCTAGGAGGATGCTTTCCACTGAAAGTCAGATGCGGGAATGTCTTTACAAACAAGTTAACCTGACAGGAGTTCATTTTCAGTTGAAGAATCTCATACCACAATCATTGTAATTGTGTTTACTTATTCAGGTACCACTTTGAATTGTTACTTTATAGACTCTTTTTTGACAAGGTACAGACATAAATGTCAGGGCATTAGGCTGATCCACGACCCAATTCTTACCATGGGCCTTGAAGTAATTTTGGTGAATTCCTCAGATGAAAGATGGGCAACTCTTCAGCTAGAAATGTAGAGCCTCAGAATGTGTAAGGACCTTAATGATCTCTAGTCCAGTCAAACATGTGAAGCTTAAATTTGCTCTGGTATATCCCAATCAAATGAGATTTGACCCTTCAGAGCGAGCATGTCAAACTCAAAGACTAACATGGGCCAAATAAATGAGGCATGCGGCCCATGGGCCCCGAGTTTGACATGCTTGCTTCAGAGTATCCTCTGGAGAGTGCTAGCTATTCAAATTCTTGCTTGATGTAAATCCCATGGCTTCCACCCTTGGCTCCAGATTCTCTTAAGGACATAAAAAGCAACTCTGCTCAAACTTACAAGGCTGCAAACTTTTTAAAAAATATATAATTGTTGATTTCAAAGAGGAAGGGAGAGGGAGAGAGAGATAGAAACATCAGTGATGAGAAAGAATCATTGATCATTGATCAGCTGCCTCCTTCATGCCCCACACTGGGGATTGAGCCCATAATCCTGGGCATGTGCCCTACCCAGGAATTGAACCATGACCTCCTGGTTCATAGGTCAATGCTCAATCACTTAATGGCACTACAGATATTAACTGTTAGGCATCACATAGGTAGGACAGAGTGGAACCCAGAACCAACCCCAGCCCCAGCCCCAGCCCCACCTCTATCATCTGAGTGACCCTGGCCCTTTGTTCCTCATCTGCAAACTGCAAGGGCTAAATGGATGTTCTCTTCAAGTGTTTTCCAGCTTCACAAATCATTTGCATTTTTTACTTTTCTGTCCCATGTGGCAGAGTATCCACAAAGATGGTCAAAGAACCCAGACCCCTGATTTCCAGTTCAGTTCTGTTTACGTTGCCAAGAACTCTCCATAGGTACACTGATTAAAGCCAGGGATGCTTCCCCCCTTTTTCTCATTTCAGAACACTTTTCTTCAGGAAACAGTGCGGAGAGAGTGTGAAGAACGCTTTGAGCTGACGGAGGCTTTGAGTCAGGCCAGAGAGCAGCTCCTGGAGCTCAGGAGGCTCAGTGGAAGCTTACCGGTGACCCCGCGGTTCCTCAGCCCCAGCAGCCTCGCCGCCTCTGCGGCCGGTCATCAGGGAGAGAGGAGCCTTGCAAAACTGAACTCTGAAAGGGGCACCAAAATCCCAGGCCTCAACATCGTGCCGAAACCCACGTCTTCTCCAACCTCAGCTCAGCCCAAAAGGGCCAACAGCTCAGGTCTGCCCAGCCTCCAGCCGCACCCGCCCAGGGGCCGGGCATCTTCAATAAATGAGAACAGACAGAGACTGGCCGCCCTTCTGCGGAGGAGACTGAATCAGCCGTGACCGACCTGGAGGCAGGAGCAGATAGATCCACACAGCGTGCATGTAGCTGAGGATGACAAAGATCACGTGGCTATCCCAGATTAAGAGTGCATGTCTACAGACATTCTTAACAAGAGAATTGAAAAAAACAACAAACAAGAAAACCTAAAGACGTGGGAAGCCACATTTTCCAAGAGGCCTTTGAAATTGCAGCAAATAATGAAATTGTGATTCCAGAGGCCAGTTTCTATATTTATGGAAAGTATGTTCAGATGTGCTCTACAAATATACCCTCTCAGAGATCAATGGCAAAATTTTCACCCACAACATTTTTTCTTTTTTTCTACCATTACAGGCAGAGATATCTCCACACACACACACACAAAAAAAATAGGTTTTAGTGGTTTCATTGCTGTTCTTTCATTTGTTTGCTAAGCTGAATAGGTTAAATAGATGTAATTAGTATTCCAAATAGAAAATAAAAGTACTTTAGTCCTTAATTAGATAAATTCCAAAGTGCTTAGTTCAAATATTCACAGAGTTCTTCATCATCACCATTATCATCATCATCATCTTTTATTTTCAATCGAATTGTAATCTAATTTCTTTTAAGAAATGACAGGTAACCTTTACGAAGACATTCTTCCCTGTGAGTCTGGGGATCTTAAAAAGGGGCTGGGGGGGGCAAGCAACTCCAATTCAGGGAAACACTAGTTTACTTTTCAAGCTGTAGAGATTATTTTAGAACATAGTAATCCTGGCCACGAAACAATTGCTCCACAGAGATTTTCTATGTTGAACGCTTTTTGGCATCAGAGCTAGGCTTTGATTTGAACTTGTATTCTCAAGCCATTGAGAAGAGAACTAATTCAAGACAGTTTAATCGAGGTTCCAATTTTATTACCCCTGAAAATGGGTAATTGGTTAATATGCTTTCTATTTCCAGAGTGGAAATTTAAACCAGAAACAAGACAAGCTATTTTAAGTTATCATGAACCTTCAGGCTCTGCCTGTTTCTAAAAACATAACTCTATCTTAAGCTAGTGTTCATCTATCTATTTCTCCATCTAACAGAAGTGTATTTTTCTTCCAAGACTGGTTTTACTTAAATCATCCATCAGACTGCATCATGGATATTCAGGCTTCTTACTCCCAGGTTAGAATGGTATATGACATGTGAATATGGAAGACAAAACCCTCTGGTATTTGGCTATCATGTTGATAGGATTTCATGTTGATAAGGGTACTTGAAATCCTTTCCCTGGGCAAAAAACAAAACAAACTAAAGTTACTAAGCAAAATCAAGTTTATCTCCAACCGTTCAAAGATTGGTCTAATCTACCAGTAGTAGATTTTGTCTGTCTGTTTTAACCTCAAAGAAAGCTCCACATTAGGTCCTCTAATTTCCCTGACTAGTTGAAATGAGCACATTTTGTGTTAAAGCTTAGAATGCTTATTTTTGTTGTACAGAGATTGGTGTTCACTATAATGGCATTTGACAAGAGAATGTAGCGTCATAGAATAGTGGTGCTGGGGTGGGCCTTAGTTGCCCAAAGAGGTCTCACTTGTCAGCTAGTTAGTTACAGAGCTAGAACCAGAACCACTGTTACCTGACCCCAACCTTCCCACCTCACTTTTCCACTCTCCAGAGATTCCCTGGCCTCCATCATGACTTTTGTCAGAAACACCTACACTGAATTTACCTAATGTTTTTTTTAAATGCATTCACATTTTAAACTTTACATGTATGTAAAAAGGAAACACGACCCAAGGAAGAATAACTTTAAAGTAATGAGATTGATTTGCTAGTTTTTTTTCTAATATGCTTAAAATAAATGTGTGTCTATTAAAATACTAAATATTCGTTGGTATATCTTTAAAATCACCTTGTATAATGTCAGTAGTCATGCCAATTCTAGAGACCACTGCTCTAGACCTCAGTGTTTCTGATCTGGTGTCTGTCTGTTTATATTGAAAATACTCATCATTAAGGGAAATGGCAAGAGCTAGTGAAAGCTTTAGCAAAAGCATAAGAGAATATTTGGGGCAACAATTTTTTTGTTATTCAATTTTATGTGCTCTTTCAATTGTGCAATTGCAGCTCTCTCTCCAGGAACCATGGGGATACACTTTGCTAAATTATGAATGTATTTAAATTTGTAAATAAAAACACACATAAGCTTTTCTAAAGCGATGTAAAGACTATCAGTGTGAAACTTGGTTTCTTGGTTTGTTGTTATGCTCTTGCTTTTACAATGAGTGATTCTGAAAATAAGATTTGAGAATAGTCATGATCTGTAGTAAGTAAGGCTGTGTTATATTCCACAAGTATATCAGAGCGGTAATTCCATGATAAATAGAGAAACAAGATTTACATTTATTTCAGCCTAGATGATTTGAATGGTATAGTCTAAACTGTGTTTATACCTTTTAAAGAAAGACACTTAAAGAAACAAGAAAAACATTAGAGTATGTAAACTGGAGGTTAGGAACACATTCAAATTTTCCTTAATTTTCTCATCATGATGAACAAAATCTAAGCATAAAACAGTATCAGCAATGCTAAGAAAGTAGTGATTATGGCAAAATAAGGCTCTCAAATGCATATAATTGATAGTAAGTCTAAAAGTGTTAATTTCTCTATAGACATGCATTTTCCATGACCTCAATGGAAGGATTTATAGGTGTTAAAAAAATGAATATTATAGAAAATATTTATTAGAGAAATGTAATCCTATTTGTTTATCTTCTTAAACTAATATAGTTGGGCAAAGATGGGAGAGTTCTATAGTTATCAGATTTTTCAAGCAATTTTTAAAAGTCTTGAATTAAATTATTATATTTATAGTTAGAACTGCTTTAGTCATATTTTCAGGCAATGGAATTGACTGGAAGACACATTAATATTAAAAATTTTGTTAGACTAAGATTTTTTAGTATTTTTCAATGATTTCAAATGTACTTTTTATTAATTCCTTTTTTTTACACAGCTCAACTTAAAGTAATTTAGTAAGACAGACTTGTGAATTACATATTTCCTGCAATTCTATTTTCAGTCATTACTGAGGACTAGTGCCACTCTAACAAGAAGTGGGTGGAAGAAATCAAAAGTCTTTTAGCAGCAAATAAAACTATACTCCAAGATTAAAGAGAAAATACTGTAGTTTACATCTTTGGGAGCAAAGCTGGCTAATGATTAGCTTGTTGCTCGGATGTGAAACAATGTTCAGATTCATAGGTTTCCACACCCACCATTATCTACTCTTGTTTTTTCACTTTGTAAGTACCTTTGAATTACTTAAACTTTATTTTTCAATTATGGTTTACATTCAATATTATTTTGTATTAGTTTCAGGTGTACAACATGATGGTTAGACAGTCACAAACTTTACTAAATGGTCCCCCCAAAATTTCTGGTACCCACCAGGCACCATACATAGTCATTACAGTATTATTGATTATACTACCTATGCTGTACATTACATACCCATGACTCTTTTGTAACTACAAATTTTTTTGCAGTTTGTACTTCTTTAATCCCTTCTCCTTTTTCACCCATCACAAACTAAGGTTTTTAATGTTCTATTAGTCTAAAAAGTTTTTGTAACATAACAGATAAATTGTAGCTAATTTCTTTGATTATGGAACGTTCGTCTTCCAAGCTTTAGTTTTACAGTTCTTAAGATTATTGCAGCATTGCACTGGTACAACAGCCTCGTATCCTAAAGGATTAATACGCTACAGCTGAAAATTCCCAGTCATCATGCTGTATCTTATGGGGCACTGGAAATCGATTTGGTATGTGCCCAAGATTCACAAATCCTATAATAATTGTGGGTTTTTAAAACTTTTTTACTTTTGTGTTTTAAGAAAATAATTAATGTACACCTTTAATGATCTCCGAACCATGATAGGCAGCAATGGGATAATTCCTAAGGCAGTGCCCATGTTGCCTTAAGGAAGAAGTTCTACTTTTCCTTTTGAAATACTAACACTGTGTAGTCATAAATTATAAAGCCAATGTAACTGTGTTAAATCTTTAGAATCTTAGATATGAGTATATCATGTTTGTATATTCTGAATTCACATATAAAATGGTCTCAACAACACAGTAGTTGAATCTGAAATACACATATCCTATGACAATATTCACCATGATCCAGAAAGTCAAAAGATTTCTCCCTTCTCCAGCATTTATATAGCGTACTGCTTTATTCATTGAGTACAAAAAAATTTACTAAATATCCCCCCCCAAATATATATAGAGAGAATACTGGGCCACAGGAATTAATTTGCTCAAAATAAATTCTAGATAAGACTGATGAATAATTTTTCAACGTCTTCAGTTTCTGAACATTTGATCTGTAGATTAATACTGAAGCTCATTATACATTCATTTCTTCAACAGATATAAAAAATTTAAAAAGCACTGTGCAACCTACAGAGACCATTAAAACACACTACAGATGCCTAAGAATTGTGCAGTAGACGGCAGTGAGGAAGGATACGAAGAAATTACAATATAGGGCAGCAGGTGTTGAGTAGAGAAGAGAATCAAAAGCAAGGTGTTTACAAGTTCATCTTGCTGGATCAGGGAACACTAAGCAAGAACTGGAATTTGTAACAGCTCTTGAAGAGTGGAGGTGGGTTTTCACAGAGGAAGGCATACCAGGCAGAGGAGATGTATAAACAGTCATGGATATGGGAAATGTAGAAAATAACTTGACTATGGGAAGCAGTGGGAACCTGAAATGGTAGGTTGGCCCCATTGCATGAAGGTGTTGAATAAGGGCCCATAGAGGATTTTGGCCAGAAGTGGCATGCACTTTATGGACATTTGGAAACATCAGTCTGGCAGGAATGTATTGAAATAATTATAGAGTTGAAAGGCTGGAAGTGGAACACCAGTTGGTAGATAAGTACAGTAGTCCAGACAAGAATTAATCAAGTTCTGAATAAAGTGTTGGTAATGGGAATACACAGGAAGCAGCTGACTCAAATTCTATTCAGAGAAAGGGAAGAATGTGTTCCCTGCGAAATGCTTTAAAATCATTACCAGCCATTGCCCTTAGCAGGGGTGTAATGTAGGAGATTGGCTCCCATTAAGGATCACCTTCTATTTAAGAAAAATATTACAGCTTCTCTGAAAAATGTGAAATAACAAGAACTCCATTCCCATTTGGGCAACAGAGAACTAACCTCACAGACTCAGCATTCATTAAAAGTCTCCTTAAAGTTAAATGAAAAAGCAACTCTGAATAGTGTTCTAAAAATTATGGGGAAAGAATGTGGAAAGTGACATAAAAAACAGCTATCATCTTGGGTCAAAAAACACAAAACACAACTGTGACTTTGGGGAATAATACAATGCAATAAAATGTTGTGATGTTTGTTAACCACTGATGAGGGGACATATAGAAGATAACAGCTAAGACAAAAATAAGGAACCCTATATAGTTCTGAAGGTACCAGACACACCACCTGGTGCAGACCTGTGATTTTACAGGAGGTAATAGGTCTCTTAGAGGTTAAATAATTTCCCAGTCTTACAGCTGCTTAATAGGAGACTACATGAGAGAGCCTGGGCCCCCAACTCTGGGTCACACATTGCATTGCTAGACTGGAAGAACAGTATCAGTTCTTAGAGTTTCGGCTACTCCTGGTGGTCCAGCAGGACCAGTGTCTCCTGGGAGCTTGTTAGAAATGCAGAACATCAGGCCTCATGCCCAAACCTACTGGATGAAATCTGATTTTAATGAGATCCTCACAGGATTTGTGTATGCATTAAAGTATGAGAATCACTGCTCACAGGACCCTCACTGCTGGGTAGCGTGGATGCTACCTCTCAAGGCCAATTTGCTGGGAACATTCTGAAATGATAGGTCCTAAAACAAGGCTAAAGAAGGGGCTTGTATGAGTGAGTGGTGGGGGCGGGAGAGAGGGCAGTGGGTGGGGGGGTGTGTATGCTGGGAAGAGAAATCCTCTCGAGGGCAGCAGTGGCTCCGTGGCTCAGTGTCCGGCAGCACCGGCAGAGTGCGGCCTGTGAGAAGGGTGCATTTCACTGCAGCACTGGTAGCGGCAGCAGCAAGAGCAATCATGCAGCAGTAGCGACAATGATAATAGTTGATATTTATTTTGCCTGATGGGCAATGCACAGTGCCAAGGGCTTTAAAATCATTTCATTTAATCCTCCCAAGACCCTTTGAGGTTGGTATATTTATTAGACACCATTAGCTGTGAACTGGACTGGGGACCAGGCCCATCACCTTGCCCTCCAGTTGCCTCTCTGAGAAGGGATGTGGCCCTCAACCAACAGCAAACTTGAGAGGTGTCCCTGGACCCTGTTGACCTTAAGATCTGGCCTCATTTAAAGGTGAGCAATCAAGGGAAAATGAAGAGGGGAAAACCCCAGCTTAGACCCTCCGGATAAAGTATTAT